TCTCTAGGGAACAGGTATTGATTGTTACGTCATTGGTTTGTGTGAAAAAATGAAGTCGTTTTCTCAAAAATTGATGACGTTACTCTCACAAACAAGTGACGTAACAATCAATACCTGCTCCCAAGAGAAGATATTTCTGTAATATGCAAAGACGGAATAGCTTAAATGATTCCATTGAAACATTTTGTTAGGCCGGGTTTGATAACGGTGTTTAACTCGTACTAAAGGTATAAAACCAACTGAAAACACAACAGTTCAGGAATGTATTTTGTTGATCGCACGCTCGTATGGACGTCTCCCTTTGATGATCAGTCCCGACTGTACCGGTCTTACCGAACCGACAACAACATTGCACCTTATTACGGGACCCGTAGTCCGACTGGCGACTCCGGCACTTACCGAACAATCCGTCCAAACTGTTGTGACGCGAACTGTATAAGTTTATGTAACTAGTAGATTTACAGCTCTACAGGTGACTTAAATACAATTATATCTTAAACCCTTCGAATCGTTTTGTCATTTTATAGGGAGGAAAACATTAAAACTGTGTTGGGTAAAGCGATTACACCTCACTACTTACTCAATAACCTCGGCGTGTGGCGCAAATAATTCCCTATATATTCGTCTGTTGTTCAACACTATACTTCAATATTTGACAACTTATATGAAGCGGAAATGTGCAGTTTCACTACAGTTTACCCTTCAGACATGTTCAGAGTTCAAAAGTACCCGGTTCGATTTTGGTCCAACTTCCGGTCTGGTCCCATTTGTATTTTTCATTTCCTGTTATCCAAACCATGGAATTATATTTGTCTTCAGATTAGTCCATTTCAATACAATATGGTTTTTATTGTGTTATGATTTTGTTATTTTAGAACAAATGTTTGGTTCACAAATATATGAAGTAGGGGAATCGAAAACCATAAAATGAACGTTTGACAACTTCATTGATTAATTGACCGAATGATGGTTCTGAACGGTTCTGTTTGGATTACAAATGTTAATTACCATTCATCAAAAATTAAGTATATTGTTTCTGACTCCTTCTTAGTTTTATTTCAAATTACAAAATGGTTTTCATAACACGAATATTGAACTGACCACTGTTCACCAGATTCGAGACATTTTGACATCGATTTAGCACTTTCTGTCAAAATGGATCTGATCTATCGACCAGCGATCTGCTTCGTTCTCGTCGCTGCTAGAATCTGTGACCGAGAGTTACTGTGGCATGGGGATGGAGAGGGGGTTGATATAAGGGCGAATTTATCTATTTAGACCCTAAAAGGAATGCAAGTAACGTAAGTTTCGACACGTACATAGCAAACTACAAACTAATTATCACTTACAGCGCCCCCTGTCATGATGTACCTGTTCAGACAGGGGTCGATAATTAGTCATCACTTGTCAGTTGAGCTAAGGACACTAATTAAGTACCTCTAATCAAGCGAATGTAAGCAGTTTGGTTTCACGGCTTTCTGTGTTCTCGAGGTCGTGCCTTGGTCAGTCGACATCGTGGTTTTTCACACCGTGTGTCACGTGGTCGATAGTGACTCGTGCCAGAACGTTAATTGGAGAGGTGTTCAGGGCCCCTAGCTCCGTAACTTAACCAAATAACAATACCACGTAATGAACATAAGTTAACAAACACAAACCTGTTGAGCTGTTTGTATTAATGAGCACATTTCACAGGGAGGTTTCGTGACAAATTCACCCCAAACTCTTTATGTAAAATGAGCTTAAACTTTCAAAGTTAATTGAAATGTATCGATTATTAATTACCTATTGTACTTATCAACATATTCTTAATTAGTGAGCACGTTCTAGTGGCAGACCTACGTCAAATCGACACAATAAAACCCTAGCTATCTAAAAAATGTGTTAATGCCATTATAAGGAATAGCGGAGACACTTCTATTACCGTTATATGCTGTATGTGCGGATACCCTAATGATTTATATGAAGAGTTTGATGATGTGACTTTAATCAAACCGTAAAATAGTGTAAGTATAAATTTGAAATGTACATATACTAATATGTTTAAAAATCAATACATAAGTTTATCAAATCTTTCCATCGCCATAATAAGTACCACAAAAATTGTAACATAGCCCTCTCAACAAATATTATAGCTTTCTGAATAGGAGGTCTTCAAACTTCAAATAATTTTATAATCATTATTCCGACAGTTATCGAAACTCTTCAATAGTAAATAAGTATCTACTGTCAAACATAACCACTATCTTCAATTAATTTAATGATCATTATTCCGAAAATTATTCAAACTCTTAAATAATTAATATATATCAACTGTCCCACATAACCACTATGTTAAATATTCAATGTACGTTTTTGATATCACATGCTGTAACCGGAATTGGAGAAGACTTATATAGGCTGAAGCATGTTGTCCAATTTTGGGAATCTATTAAATATCTTAACAATAGTATCCAAATTAGACCTATATGTTTGGTTCCCTGGTAAGTTGTCGTAATTAGAAGCCATATGGATACAAAATACCTGAAAACGATTTATTAAGGAAATTAAAATCATTGTAAATGTTCTTTTGTATTTAAAAATGATTGAAGCAAAGCATATAACATTCAAGTAAATGAATACATAGAACAGCCAAGAGATTTATATCACAACGTTGATTTTTAGTACGAATTTTTAGGTATTATTTAAAGAGATTTAGCCTATTGAGAAATATATTGAATTTAACCAGATACTTAATCTTTATATAAACTTATTCAAATACCAACTTCAAGACGTATCGAAAGAATGACATTGACATTTTGTTATTTCCATTTCAAAATATTTTATATAACAGCAGATTTACAGATAATACAGATATCGGAAAACAGTCTGTGTGACAACAATAGGACTGGCTAACAGGCTAAGTCTATAGCAGACATACCAGTTTGTTTATCAAATTTTATTACATATTTATATTTACATATATAAATGGATAAGATGACAGACTATATCAATCTTCTCCATGATGGTATAAGTAAGACATTATATATATACATGTCATTAATAAGCTATTTATATTATTGTATTAAATCCAATCATACAATCATACATTTACCTACTTACACTCTCTATACACACTCATGTCAATGCTATATGATAGTTATACTATTATCTAAATTGACTAGCAACTATCAACAATTATGATTGAGTTAGGTTTAATACAGAAAATAATTCATTTAATTATATATACATGCAAAAAAACATATATAATAGTTTGATTATATTTAAACTTTTAGTTACATCATCCTAACCGTTTAGATGCAAAAATGTACTTTTCAACATTAGACAATATCAATATATTTATTTCAGAAGGTAAGTCAGTAATTCCAGATGTCAAAAGATGAACATTTAAGTATCAGTGTCATTCTATATAGTGGGCACACGATTCGACTCAGAACTTTACTGAACCTGATAAATACTATATATTAAATTACACATACACCTATTATACAATCTGTATGTATTTGTATCATATCAATAAATCAAGATTTACCTTAATCAGATAGGAAGTCATCACGTTCTAAAGAACTGACATTTTGACAAGAGAAAGTTTAAAATGCACCCTTCTGAGGACATTGTTCAGCTTCCTCACCCTGGATTGACCGCATTAAAACTTTTAATAGATATATATATGAAATGTCGATTTCTAATTATTTTAAATTAGCGCGTATTATTTTATTTTTAACTCTACTATTATTGACGTGAGATTCGTTGTCCGTTTTCTTGTAAAAATAAATACCCGTACAGAATAATTGCTGCCGTTTGATTCCAAACAACCATATTGGTCTTACGTGTTTAACCTTCTTTTAAGTCTTATACTGAATGAAAGTAAGAAAAAAGCAAAAAAAAAAATACGGCACTAAGTATGAACTCTCCTAACTCATACGACCTTTTTTTCTTTGTCTTGGTTTGATCAACGAAAATATCGGGTATATCTATCGGGGTAACAAGAACGTATTTATTACCGCCATTGTTACGACATAAAGGCAAAAGTCACGAAAAAAAACGAAAAGTTTTTTTGTCAGTGTGTCGCTGTGTGGTAAGTTACGTTAGAAAACACGGACAGATTTTTCTTGTTGATATCAATACGAAATAAATATAATAGCGTCCCTAAAATATGACTGATATTTTCCAACCCATTAAACCACTAAAAAGTCATCAAGATAAAGATCTCTTTATTTAGACAAGCCTGACATATTGAGAGTTAATTTACAGAAAACTAAAATGGATTTAAAGCTTGACGGTGGCATGTTTAAATATTTATCTAACATATTTATTTTCTTTATACTTTTTTTTCCCGAGCTCTGAGATTTTTCTTTATCAGAGCGCAAGACTGCCAATCGCTCCGGGGTGGACGAAGATGATATCTCGGCTTACATGCGGCTAATTAGGGGGGCGGGGCTTATATTCTTGACATGAGGGCTTTTGATTGGCGATAAGGTTACTTGATTGGCAGCTCTCGTGTCGGGGTATGAATTGACGTCTTGTTCCTGACAGTCAGTACACAGAGGAGTGGAAATACTGGATGGGCGGCGGTTCGTTTTTATAGTCAGTCAATTTAAACATTTCATGTGGAACTTTTTTGCGTGCTAGTCATACCAAGAAAAACAGGGGACATTTGTTTAGTAGTGCGATGGTTCTATATATAAATATATATACACACACCTCGCTGGATTAATACTGTATTAAGAACTACACGGAGCCCTAGTGAAAACGGCCGAGAGGACTGGAGTTCTCTAAGCAAAGGAGTTGGTAATCCCCTTCAATACTATTACATGTGTAAGAAGATTTAGGTATACGGACTGCCGGAATAAACACGTACGTTTGATTGCCTTTGTGTGCTTTTCACTAAGCGTTTACATTCTAGTGTTTGGGAAATACGAGAAGTTTGTTTTCTCCTCTGTACAAATCTTTTAAAAAGATTCGGGAGTAAAAATGTAACCTGAATTTCTTGTTTGTTTTAGGAAACGCTAACGGACTTGTGTGAAGGCCTGGACCAGTGTTTGTAAACTAATGGGTGGAAAGTCGTCGTAGCACCAAACCAACAGCACTCTTCTACAAAACTTGTCGTCTGCTCGTCATACACAACAATGGCGGGCCATCTCGGACTGTCGTGGAGATATTTGGTGTTCGTGCTTTGTGTGACGACCTTTTCGTGTTTGCTTGCGGACGCTGAACAAAGATTGCAATGCCAGGAAGTAACCATTCCGATGTGTCGCGGTATCGGATACAACTTTACGTACATGCCTAACCAATTCAACCACGAGACCCAGGAGGAAGCTGGTCTGGAGGTCCATCAGTTCTACCCTTTAGTGGAAATCAAGTGTTCTCCAGATCTACGACTTTTTTTGTGTAGTATGTATGCGCCAATATGTATGGAAGGTTACAACAACCATCTACCCGCGTGTCGCCCTGTTTGTGAGAGAGCACGTGCGGGTTGTGCACCCTTGATGGCCCAGTACGGATTTCAGTGGCCGGAGCGCATGAACTGTGATAAACTTCCGTTGTCGGGATTATGTGTTGATGCTAATGCTACAGACAGTTCCACAGCCTCCCCTCCTCGTCCACGACCCACCCGACCCCACATCGACCGCATTCCTCCTAAGCATATCACGGCGGATAAACCTCCGAAAAAATTGGTTCCCAACCTACCCCGGATACCGACACCTGTCAAAAAGGACGAGTACCCAGCGTGTTGTCAGTGTAAGATGGTTCGTTTGGAACAGTCGAGTGGATTTTACAACGAGATCATGACGGGAGGACTAGACAACTGTGCTCTGAACTGTACAAGTCCGTACTTTTCTTCAGACGAGATGACATTCGCCTCGTTCTGGATAGGCTTGTGGTCCATTTTGTGTTGTATATCTACTGCCATGACGGTGCTGACGTTTTTCGTGGACATGCAAAGATTCAAGTATCCAGAACGTCCCATTGTGTTCCTCAGTGCCTGTTACTTCATGGTCAGCTGCGGCTACATCATTCGCCTGATCGTCGGTCACGCAGCCGTCGCATGCGATGGGAAGATGATCCGCTACGAGACTACTGGACCAGCGTTATGTACGGTCGTGTTTCTCTTGCTTTATTTCTTCGGGATGGCGTCGTCTATCTGGTGGGTGATTTTGTCCTTCACGTGGTTCCTGTCGGCTGGGTTGAAGTGGGGACAGGAAGCTATCGCCAACTACTCTCAGTACTTCCACGTGGCCGCCTGGCTCATCCCCTCCGTCATGAGCATTGCTGTACTCTTCAAGTCGTCTGTGGATGGTGACCCGATCGCGGGAGTGTGTTACGTCGGCAACCAGAACATAGACAACCTCAGAGGATTCGTTCTTGCCCCGCTTTTTATATTTCTCATTCTCGGAACCTCATTCCTGATGGCCGGATTTGTGTCGTTATTCCGGATTCGGAGTGTGATTAAGGCTCAGGGACGCGGTAAGACGGACAAACTGGAGCGTCTAATGATTCGTATCGGTGTGTTCTCCGTACTTTACACAGTTCCGGCTACCATTGTGATTGCGTGCTATTTCTATGAACAACATCTTAAGGAGCAGTGGGAGAAATCCCTCGTGTGTCCGTGTTACCAAGGTGCTAGTAAACCAGAGTATTCTGTATTTATGTTGAAATACTTTATGTGCTTAGTTGTGGGTATTACTTCCGGTTTCTGGATCTGGACCGGAAAGACTGTAGATTCCTGGAAAAAGTTTTTCTATCGGACAGCCTGTTGTTGTGACAGAGACACTTCCGGATATAGCTCTCGAATGTCCAAATCTACGAACTCCAGTTACCCAGGTGTGAAAGCTCTCCCTCTCAGTCAGGTGTGATACACGGTGCCCAGACAGTGACTGTAAATTGCCGAAATGTTATATAAATTAATTATATATAAAACGAATCTTTTCTAGAGATTATCTATGTGTGCTTGACTGAGAAAGTTCTTTTTTCTATAATTTAATATCGAAAGGTTTTTGGTCTACGGATGTGAGTGAACATGTCTATTTTGTAAAGGCGATAATCATTTCAAAACACTTATAAAGATTTTTTAATTTCCTCCGAACCAGTAAATAGATTTTGGTTTCAGTTGTATGATTCGATTTTCAGACAACACAGAATAGATAATCTCTGGGAAACGATCCGAATTCCTATTGTGTAACACTGTAGTCCTATTTGTAAAACGTATGGTTAGCCTGAAACAAGACTGGAAAAACATTTGAACAGATTTAAAATTAAAAAAAAATCATGATTGTTTTTGGTAAAAAATATGGATGCATATAGAACTTATTCAATTCTAATTTTCAAAACACAATTTTAAAAATTAGGTGTAAAACAAAATGTTAAAATGTAATGGAGTATTGTGAAGAAGCGTTGCACCAGGTTGACCCTACTTTATACAATCGGACTACATTGTTACGCTTGTAAGTATGTAATGATGTGACCCACGTGTAAAAAACGCCCACTTAAAACTTAAGGTGAAAGTGGGAAACTTTAGTGCAATATTTCAATGTGGAGCACCTAGACAAGAGATGGGTCAATATTGACTTTCACAAATCTTGTGTTCGGAAGTTCCTCGATCAATTTTTTTTTTATTTACCATAGAAATTATTGATTTTTTTCCCCTCTTTTTAAAATAGATTTCCAAAAATGCATGTTAGCTAATCTGTGGGGACACGATGTAGCTCCACGGCGTCGTGCTGTGTAATTGTGGGTTGGAGTGGTGGCCGTACAATAAGAGTTCAAACTTTGTCAACACACTGGCACTGTCGACATCTCAAGTGTGTAATACATGTAAGCAAAGCTTGAACAAAAATTGACAAATAAAGGAAAGAATATAAGTACACATATGAACCTGTCACTACGCCAGAGTTGGCATTAGGTATTTAAGGCTTTATTTTCTGGTTAAAAATATGGAAAAAGGAAATTTACAAAAGTCGTTTTTTTTCAAAATTTAAGAAAAATGGATAAGAAAATATCGGAAACATCGCACCGATTTTTTTCTACTTTTTAAGTAGAAACGCACGATTTATTTCTTGTGATTAATAGTGCCACCTTGTTATAAATTGGAATGTGTTTTTTTTAAATGTTACACACCGACATTGACAAAAATAACACAGATAGTGTTAAAATTTAGACATGTTTTTTTCAATCTTGTGAGCAGCAAGAAAACGTAGGGTTCCGTTTTTGCACGTGGTATTGTCCTACTTGTGTTGATAAAATGATATTATTTACTGTTTAATGATGTTGACATGTATTATTTGTTATCTCCGAGTTATGGGTAAAATGCTGATTTCTTGACCTTTTAGAGAATTAATTAATTCTCTTCGTTTAATGAGAAATACAGATTTCTCCCGTCCTCATCGCCCCAAAAGAAATAGTGTATTGTTAACTATACTGCCTCCGGCCGGAAGTGTGTGCCCGCGGATGGAGGGATCATTAATTATTTCTGAATTCTGTCATGCAATTGGCATATATCAGCCTGTAGGTGTTGTTCTTTTGTTGATAATGTGACAGAAAACATGACGAGAGGATCCGTATGTCACTCGTTACCACACAGTATTATTCTCCGCCCAAATCCGGGCTATTGTCCTTTTATCCTGCAAATAGTTTTACCCATGTTTTTCTCGTTTGTAATTTGTCTCTTGTGAGTCTCCGGAGAATAAATCCGGTACGTTCTGACAAAGATGAGTTGCTGCCCTCCGTATCGTACAGAATAATTAATGATCCTGACAATCCTATGTTTGCGCATGTGTACGAGATTTTTTTGTATATTTCATGTTTATTTATAAGACACAAATTAATGTACATATATCCATTGGTTGACACCAAAATATCGCCATTTTATTGGGCCAATATTTCCCATTGTATTATCACGTTCGTTGCATTAAAATTAGTAAGTACTTATGTCGCTACGGTTATCCCGAGTCTGTAACTAGTTATTATAAACTGTAAATTCCCAAATCTCCGAAGTTAGCCCACCGTTTTATTTTAATTGCATCTATCAATCAAAAATATTATTATTTAGTTACATATATCAATTGTTAAGGTAAACGAAAATCCAAAGCACTATTTCATGAACAGCATGATTATATTTAAGTTTTTAAAAGTTTAGTAAAACATACGGAAGTGTATATTATTTGTCAATATAATTAAAAGAAAGAATGATCGGAGAAATAATTCATTAAATTGTATAAATAATTATCAGTATCCATGTGTATAAGCCCTACTGTTAAAAACTAGTGAGACAAAGAAAATTGAATTTGAATCATCAAAACAAACTACAAAATTGATTTAAAATTATCAACGCCAAAGGTATTTTGGAAGTTATTTAACAGGGAAAAATAATAAACCTACTGAATTTGGGTACAGCTTGGGCCAGTTCACTTCAACCATATTGAGTTACTGGAGTCGAGATAACTGAACTGTACACAAAATCGTGCTCATGGTTTTCCTGTAAACAGAGGAATTTGGTTGACAACAGTCTGTTTGTTTGTTTTTTTATAATGTTTTGAAAATACTTGACATCTGTACCATACGACGAGAAAAGTCAAAGCTTCATAAATTCAAAACTAGTTTAATTCTTTTTAAATTCTGACCACGGTACATTGTATCCTGGCTTTTATTCGGTTCTCAAATTCAGATTTCGATGGAGAGGTCCCCCCCCCCCCTCATGTTAGACACAATAGCTACAAATATATAAATAGGATTATATGAGGTGGTGCCACTAGATTTGAAAAAGTGATGAAATTTCAGAAGCAAAATGAGAATAATGTAGAAACTAAATACTAGTATAAAACGTGGGTCATTATTACTGAATGAATATTTCTCTGTCAAAATGATTTTTTTTTTTTGTAATTGGGAAAGTTGGATTGACATTATAATTTTCTTAATTAAAAAAATATGTAAAAGATAATGAAAAGAAGGAAAGAGTAAATTTGGATCTATTTAATTATTATTTTTTAAATTTTTCACATGCAAATAAAAATATGGATATTTTAATATGAACTAACAAGAGAATACATTTCAGAACCGAGGTAGTACGTTTGTTTTTTAAATATAAGTTATGGCTAGAAGAGTAGCATCAATAATTGCTAGCCATATGTTATAAATAAGAAATTCGCAAAACGTTTCTCACGAATTGCCTTGTGTAGGCCAGCCACACTAGACTACAAAACGGTTTTGTTACTGACGTGAGAAGGCTGAAATACCCGTGTTTTGTTCGTGTCTATTGAAGGGTTTGACCAGGTATTCGTTTTCAGCCCTATTAATACACCTGATTACCTAGCAACATTACAAATTATGAGAAATTTTATTTTGTGAAAGCCTAACTGTCCTTAGCGGTATACGTGTTATACAGCTTCAGTAAATACGAATTTGTATATGATTTAAAATGGTTAAGCTAGGGGGACAAGGGTTGTAGGAAATCAAGTTTGTTGTACTAGATTATCATAACTGCTATATTAAGTTATATGATTATTTCCAGTTCTGTATGAAGAGATAGAACTTTCATTTTTTTCTGTTTTAGTTTAGTTATGGTTAAAAACTGACATTTTTTCCCCCGTTCAAATCGGGTATAAAGAGGGTTAAAAGTTCCGACTTAATTAAAGTTGGTATTTTTTTAATTTATTTTTTTCGGTTTAGAACTCAAACCATGCCATACGTGTTATTATTTGCCATGTTGCTGTTCAGTGAATCGTTCGGTTACTAAATCAGGTTTTTAGTCACTGTTTGAAATACGTTGTGTTGCTTATCCGATAATAAGAAATACAATCTGTGTTTGTCCTTATGTAGAATGCTAACAGGCAGGATAATGCTTGTTTTGTACATTCATATATTTATGTTATTTACACAAAAAAGAAAAAGAAAATACACACGTTGAAGACAATCTCTATTGTTGCGAGTTTTTATTTAGAATTTGTTTATTTTGGTTTAACAATATGTTAATGTCAATGTATTTTGGGTAAAGGTATTTCAATCCCGCACCCCTGATTTTAGTGTGGGACTCCCCACATTTAGAGAACCCATCAATTTCTCACTGATGTAAACAATTCGATACCCATGTTCTGAACTTACCCGAAGAAAATCCTACAAAAATCACACAATGCTTGAAACGTCAAACAGATTTGGTACAAGTTGCAGCAACATATCCGAGCCCGTCCCTCAACATATCCGAGCCCGTCCCTCAGCATTTCTACAATCACATTGTGATAGCGACAAAAGCATTATACATCGTTACATAACAAAATCAGAAAGTGACCGAAGGAAACGAGAAACAGGAAGGAAGTTCAGGAAAATGACAAGTACATCCGGTAGAATTTCTTAATTTATTCAACAATAGAAGTTAATTTATACAACAATAGAAGTTAAACTACATGTGGCTACCTGGCTCATACCGACTTCACACTGGACAACTCACTTCAATTGTTAACTGTTCTTCATCCATATTTTAGCGTTTTGATATTTGAGATAGTAAAATTAAGCCTGAAATTGGAAAATATCATGAATTTGTTACGTTAATTTCCACAACTGTACAGCTCTGTAAGAGCCGGGTATGCCGTTATATGTTCGATACACGTACATCAGTTATTTCACAAGCAAACCTTTATATCCATATAATACGGATAAAGAGTTATACCGTACTTGATGACCTAACCACAATTCTCTACAAATCCCATCCCGATACGTAAAACACGGTGCATTCGTACATAAACACGGGTGGCATGCATCCGAAGTTATTTGTGGTTTGTGAAACAAACAATGGGGTGTCAATCACGTGTCCTGTTATTTTGAACTTTGACCCATGACACCCGATTACAAATTCGTGGACAATAGTCTTGAAAATGTAAACCTAACATACTGTATGACATACATGTATTCTTTTGACAACATTATCAAATTTTAACTTCGATTCTTCTAGAAATGAGGATTTTATTTCAAAATATTTTAAGAATAGAATTACACATGAGTTAAATGTATGAGTTGATATAATGATTTGTGCCCAATGCTCGTGTTTAATTTTTGAAGCAATCGTGTTTTAATTAAACCGAAGACTGACTAATTTAACACTGAATTCTTCTAACTCTTCCACCAGTTTAGATATGCATGTAAACAAATATCGCAAATTTCTTCTTTTACCACTAATTTGACACAAAGTGAGAGGAATGCGACCACTAAACCGGATATATTCTGACGGCAGGATGTGATGCCAGACTCTCCATACTCTACAACCAGTCAAATATTTATAACAAACACCACCCAGATCAGACGTACTTTGACAGACGGATCATCCCATGAGATCTGAATTTTAAACACATCATCAGCGATATTTCGACATCAACATTGCTTTTTATTACACTTTAATCATTACAAGTAAATAGTTTGTCAAGTTCATCAATATTTCAAATTTTCTCTGCATGATAAAAATCACTAGCAGAGTGTGACGGTGACGACGCCGGGTCTATCTTCGATCACATGATTATGCAGTGATTTCAAAAGCATACAAATACACTGATTCTGTGTTTAATACTACACAATAAACATACAATATCGTAAAATGAAATTTAAAAGTCTGTTTAAAATGTTCTGCTCATTCAGATATTGAAATGGTGCGAAGAGAATAAAGGGGAAGTGTAATACGAAATATAAACATGGTACCGGAGACGTGTGCTATTTTCCGGCCTGCGGGTTCGCATAGACACGTACAGTCAACTATAAATACCGAGGTAGTATACTAAGTCTTCAAGCTATCCAAATAGACCCGATTCCTCAATGACCACTAAGAATGACCACTAAAGGGTCTTAGAGTGACATTCACACGCGTGTTTGAAGTCCTGTTAATTCACCTGTACAGCCAAGGTATACACTCGGAACAATAACTTACTTTGACCTGTATGAGACCAGTCATACCATACACTATTTAACTTGTTTAAAATCTACATTTTATTTCAACACACTGTTGTAATTGTTAACATGATACACGGATTACAGAACAGGTTTACATTGCTGTATCGTTCATTTCTCTCATCAGTGTGACCAGTGTACCTTGGGCATAAAATGCTTTATAATTTATAAATGTACACAACAAAAATATATAGACGACCACAAATTAATTCTACTCGCTCAAATTCATGGATTCAATATTACCGAATTGTACATTCAACACTTTCATTATTTTATCTCTTTTATTAGACATTTCAATCAGAGAAACATTTGGTACGAAATAGCATAGCTTGTGTAAAAGTTACATAAAGCGAACCCATATATTTGGAGACATTAGCGATAAGTCGCGTAAAAGGCACTTCAAACGAATCAAAATATTTCATACATTATGAATTTGCCTGGTAAAAGTCACTTCAAGAGAACCAAAATAATTTAGATATAAGTTCTTTGTCGCGTTACTACCACTTCAAGCGAACCAAGCTTTGGACCATTCCTCTTGGATATTATTTTGGCACCGAGGTACAAAGGGTAGTGTTGGCTGATCACTAAGTACTAGTTAAACACAACTCGTACATAGTACCATTCCTCGTCTTATCCGGTACTAATTCAAACACTTCAAATAATACTTCAACACCGCAATATAATATTGGTTACCGTGAGCTACATAATGATCTACACGTACCTCATTCCCGGTTAATTCACGGGTATGTGTACACGTGTATTACACATACCTAGCTAATTCACGGGTATGTGTACACGTGTATTACACATATCTAACTACTTCACGGGTATGTGTACACGTGTATTACACTGACCTACATGTGAATCCCATCACGAGTATGTGTACACGTGTATTACTCATACCTAGCTAATTCACGGGTATGTGCAAACGTGTATTCCACATACCTAGCTAATTCACTGGTATGTGTACACGTGTATTACACATCCCTAGTTCATCCACGGGTATGTGTACACGTGTATTACACTGACCTCCATGTGAATCCCATCACGAGTATGTGTACACGTGTATTACTCATACCTAGCTAATTCACGGGTATGTGCGCACGTGTATTACCCATTCCCAGCTAATTCACGGGTATGTGTACACGTGTATTGCACATATCTAACTCATTCACGGGTATTTGTACACATGTATTACACATACCTAGCTAATTCACAGGTATGTGTACACGTGTTATACACTGACCTAGCCCATTCACGGGTGTTTATCCCGTGTATTACACTTATCTAACTCATTCACGGGTTTTTGTACACGTATAATACACTGACCTAGCCCATTCCCGCTTGTTTATCCCGTGTTTTACACTTATCTAACTCATTCACGGGTTTTTGTACACGTGTAATACACTGACCTAGCCCATTCCCGCTTGTTTATCCCGTGTATTACACAGATTTAACTCATTCACGGGTTTTTGTACACGTGTAATACACGGACCTAGCGTATTTAAGGGTATTTGTACAGGTGCATTACATATCCATAGCTCATTCACATATATTTGTACATGTGCAAAAAACTGACCAAGCTCATTCACTCATTCCTGCGTGATTTTCGATTATCTATTCACTGGTATTCCACAAATCTTGCTCTTTTTCACGGGTAGTTGTACACGTGAACTATGTTGACCTTGCTCGTTTACGGGTAGTTGTACACGTGTATTACGTTGACTCATTCCTGCGTGATTTTCGATTATCTATTCACTGGTATTCCACAAATCTTGCTCTTTTTCACGGGTAGTTGTACACGTGATCTATGTTGACCTTGCTCGTTTACGGGTAGTTGTACACGTGTATTACGTTGACTCATTCCTGCGTGATTTTCGATTATCTATTCACTGGTATTCCACAAATCTTGCTCTTTTTCACGGGTAGTTGTACACGTGAACTATGTTGACCTTGCTCGTTTACGGGGAGTTGTACACGGGTACTACGTTGACCTTGCTCGTTTAAGGGTAGTTGTACACGTGTACTACGTTGACCTTGCTTGTTTACGGGTAGTTGTACACGTGTATTACGTTGACCTTGCTCGTTTACGGGTAGTTGTCCACGGGTACTACGTTGACCTTGCTCGTTTACGGGTAGTTTTACACGTGTACTACGTTGACCTTGCTCGTTTACTGGTAGTTGTACACGTGTACTACGTTGACCTTGCTTGTTTACGGGTAGTTTTACACGTGTACTACGTTGACCTTTCTCGTTTACGGGTAGTTGTACACGGGTACTACGTTGACCTTTCTCGTTTACGGGTAATTGTACACGGGTACTACGTTGAACTAGCTCGTTTACGGGTAGTTGTACACGTGTACTACGGTGACCTTGCTCGTTTACGGGTAGTTGTACACGTGTATTGCGTTGACCTTGCTCGTTTACGGGTAGTTGTACATGTGTATTACGTTGACCTTGCTCGTTTACGGGTAGTTGTACATGTGTATTACGTTGACCTTGCTCGTTTACGGGTATTTGTACACGTGTACTACGTTGACCCTGCTCGTTTACGGGTAGTTGTACACGGGTACTACGTTGACCTCGCTCGTTTACGGGTAGTTGTACACGTGTACTACGCTGACCTTGCTCGTTTACGGGTAGTTGTACACGTGTATTGCGTTGACCTTGCTCGTTTACGGGTAGTTGTACACGTGTACTACTTTGACCTTGCTCGTTTACGGGTAGTTGTACACGTGTGCTACGTTGACCTTGCTCGTTTACGGGTAGTTGTACAAGTGTACTACGTTGACCTTGCTCGTTTACGGGTAGATGTACACGGGTACTACGTTGACCTTGCTCGTTTACGGGTAATTGTACACGTGTACTACGTTGACCTTGCTCGTTTACGGGCAGTTGTACACGTGTATTACGTTGACCTTTCTCGTTTACGGGTAGTTGTACACGGGTACTACGTTGACCTCGCTCGTTTACGGGTAGTTGTAC